TGTGTGAAAGGGTGAACGTAGTGTAAAAGCGCTTTGAGTGGTCGGAAGACTAGAAAGGCGCTATACAAGTACAGGTCCATTTACCATCTGATCAGAGTTTTGTGAGCCTGTGTGTTGCCCTGGACAGCCCTGTAGACAGGAAGCGGATAGACCTACAATTAACTAGAGCAGTGAAACGTGTTACATTTGTAAAATCTGGACCGTGTGGCTCCTCTGTCCATTATCATATCACGATGCGATTGGTCCGACCACATCCAGGACGAGTGGAATTTAGTTTGATTGGAAGTGATCAGCTCTCAGATTTGTCTGGTTTCCAGGTTAGCCAACCACACAACAGCTCCTCCAAAACTGTAGCAGTGTTTTTAATGTCAATGCATGGTGGCAGACAGTGACTGTGTTTTGCCACTCATGAGGGAGGGACCATGATGATTACCAAGCACTATGACATCCCATTCATATTCTATATGTCACTCCTCCCCTTCACAAGGTGAAATAGCATCAACAGACACAGACTCACGTTCCCTGCTGTGTTCATCACTGATTTGATCTCCCTTTTACAGGCCTTGGAGGATTTCATCTGAATGTAGGCTCTCACTTTGTACTGTAAAAGAAACAACAGTCAATCACAGTCAGCGGGATGGACACTGAAACACAGAAACAGTGGATGTTAAAATCTATGAGCTCTTGCCTGATGCATCTTTGATTTGGCTGCCTCGATCATGGCTGTGAACTCTGCTTTCTGGTTGGCTCCATCTTTGTTTGAACTGTTGTTCTGGAACCAAACATAGCAATCCATGAACAGTTAAGTGCATGCGTTTAAATTTGCTTCATTTGACTTATTCCTTGAAAGAAAACTACGACTAAAGTCATTTCTTCAGACATTTAGGGTAGCAGTTAGACAACAGAATAAATGACTCTTTGAGAGTAACTCTAGACTAAAGTCATCAGGCTTGTGGTTATAGCAGATCTGCATTGATGAGAAATACTTGTCATTTAGCGAGATGTATCCTAAATCTTTTTGACTGTGAAGGCCAACGGTTTACTTTTTTCAGACTATAATTGATTGGGCTGGGTAAAAAAATCAATTTAAACGATTTTAGATCGATTTCATTTAAATTTTGCAATATCGATTCATTTTTTGTTTCTTTCCCCATGAAGTTAACCCCAGTAGTCTCGTGCGTGATGATGCAGCAGCGCGTTTACGTCAGGTTGACGTTCAAGCGCACAAGCATGCAAGCGTGCATAAACAAGATGACCAACGCAGGTAAAACCCCGCTCAGCAAGCAGTCCCAACTAAAGTCTGACGTCTGGAACCATTTCGGATTTAAAACAAGGACAAAGAGCTGGATAAAACCAAAGTGGTTTGCAAGATCTGCCAAGCGGAGCTCAGTTATTGTAGAAATACTACAAACCTCAGAAACCACTTGACAAGGTATCACTTTCACTTGCAATTCCTTTCTAATTTCAGAATTGCACTTTTGAGACTTAAGACAGTTTTGTTTACAGCTCAAGTTTAAACTGTCCACTTTACAAGTTTGCACTTAAAACCTGTTGTTTAAGGTGAAGAGAAAAAATAAAGTATTTGTATTTTGTAACACAGTTGAGCCATTTTCATTATTTAAGAGCAGATTGAATTGAATCGAATCGTGATTAATCGATTTAGAACCTTATGAATCGAAATCAAATCAAATTTAGGAAATTGGCCACGATATCCTGCCCTAATAATTGATCATGCTTTATAAATTGGCTACCATAACACACAACTTAAAATCATGTGTGGACACCATTATTTAAATTCACCTGAAGAGCCAATCTCCAGAGCTATGGCTCACCTGCTAACCTGCTTTATCATTTCAGGCTTGGCTACTATGGAAATAGGACAATGGTGTGAAGCGACACAAGTCTAGCCGTCGCCAGCATGGGGGTTATGCATAGAAAATAATAGGGGCAGCTGTTTGGATGTGTGTTGTTTGGCACCAGTGTGTTTAGCCTTTGGTGCAGTCTGAGGACACTGACAACCATTTTTTCATACAAAGCAATTTCATGGTAGAGGAAAGTTCAAATCAAAACCGCTGACAGTAAGCTCTGTGGATTATTCCAGGGAACAGGGGGGAGTTTTTATAAAGTAATCTTCAATGCTGTCACTACCACACACTAAATTCCATTCACATCCATTATACTGGAGGCAAATGTCTTTAACAAGTTGCCAAGATATATGGCTTAAATTAAAGGTGTGTTAATACATTCTGTGTGATCCATTGATCCACTTCTGCTTCATGTTTTACTGGGCTTCATTAGTAATTTACCGTAGCCATAGATCTCAGCATTAACATTAGGCAAAATGTTATCATATGAAAATAAGCACAGGTTGTGTTGTGTCTTAATGACAATCCGGGTACCTCTCCTTTGCCGTTCTTGTTGCTTCCTTGCACCGACATTTTGTCCAGCACAGCCAGCAGGTGGAGGGCCTTCTCTGGTTGGAAGGTGAGCAGGTACAGATCCACCAGCAGCAAGCACACAGCCTGAGCAAACTTCTCTTCTAGGACAAATAACACAATGACTCTATGCCAAACTCAAGGCTGACAAACAGACCTTTACAAAATATGAACACATCACTGTAATACTGTGGTCTAACTCCTGTAAAGAAACCGGACTGAGATATTGTCTGTGCTAGACTTTTTCAAAATCATGAACTCATTTCTCATAAACCTGGTTATTTCACACATTTGAGCAGCATGGCCATTACATCAAGTAATCAATATAGGACTGTATGCTGGCAAGCTAGGCAGCTTTTTTTTTTATGTCAAGGCATGCCATGATAGTCACGATTATCCTGATTATGCAAATTCAACACAATAAAATCAGCCCATACTTAGAACTATTGGTTGGACAATATAGACCTATTGCAGACATATTAGTACTGTATTGGTATTGGATGTTATGCACCCAAATGAAGACAGCTTTTCTTTTCTCCGGTATACAATGCAGAAAAGAATGCTTGTGGTATTACATTGGGTCACTGCAAAGTTTATCCAGTGTGCTCGAGATTTACAATACTGTTGCAAGCAGCACAGAGTAAGAGAATAATAAAGAATATTTAACAGAAATGTTTTTTTTTAAGAAAGCAGGAGGTACTCTGCAGCTACATTTGCAGAGTCATATTAGCGAACAATCCTCAAGTTTCACTATATCAGCCACCATTTTGGTAATTGGTAATAGTGCATTTTTCGTATACAGAATTGTATCGGTCGGGCTCTATCCATGCTATGATATCCAGTATTAATACCAGTTTGGGAGAGCAGCATTACAAGGTCACCATCTTAAGCAATTTATTCATTACCAAACATTTTCTGATAACACTGGGGTGTAATATCCTCAGGATATAAAATTGATAAATTTTAAATAATTGAATTAATATAAAAAGAGCTGAAACACCAATTATTCCATATATTATATTGAACTAATCAATCATTTATTCTGTGAGATGTCAGAAGTAACAACAAACACACTGTCAGGACCCAAAGTCCTGTCTTCATAATGCTGATTGCTATGGGCCGATTGCTGATCAATTACTTACCACATCAGTACTATATAAAGCACCACAACATACCAAATGGTTCCAGGAACTGGTAGAGCCTCTCTCCTATGGAGATGGCGTCAGAAAACTGTCGCATGTGATAGTGAATGATGGCTTGATTGTAGTACAGCAAGCTATTTTCAACATCATCCAACCCATCAACGTCCTCTGATGTGTGAACCTGGAAAATACAGAGTGTGGTGAAATTTAAGACCTCATCAAGAAGCAACGTGCTTTCACTGAAGACTAATACAAGAATAATACAAACCGCGTTTGAGTAGTTACCTGGTTCTTCATTGCCATGAGAGTCTGCTTCAGAGTTCCTGTGGTAGTCTGACCACTTTTGTAAAACTCTACGACAGCTTTATTCATGGCGATCTTGTAGTCCTCTTTGTTGAGCTCCTGCAGGGCTTCAAGGTGTTTGAGAGATTGATCATACTTCCCAGCCTGTGAGGAACACAGAGCCCATATCATCATTTGCAACATGATAGAATTTCTCCTTGTGTTAATCTTAAAATGTCTCACTATTTAAAACTGGGTCCATAGGTACAACCCATGCATGAGCACGTGAGAGGACTATGGTTAATAAAACACTGATTAATCATCTGATCCACTTATAATACATAATACATGTGGTTGTGGTTGCTCTGTAATGCGTAGCTGCACGGTGCATGAAGGAGGTTGACTGACTGTTCACTGTACTTCATTTGTATAAATATAACTCAACCTTAACTTTATGCAAATTAAATCTGTCCAGCCCAACGCAGCATGATGATATGAAACACCTTTTATAGCTTCTCGTCAAATCTAATAACAGACTAATAAATAATGATGATAAATAGATAAAATACAAAGCAGATCCTCTTTACGACAACTTTTATTCTTTAGTGGTTTAGGTTATGGTCAAACAGAGCAGAGATAAGTGGTTGGGGTTAGGGATAAGTTCAGGTTAAGGTAAGAGGAAACAGACTTGCAGAGAGGACTTAAACCTGACAAAAAATATGTTTACATACTGGTTTACTGGTCCAAAACGCAGCTGCGCGTCTT